ACAGCAGCCCCCAAAAAAGGCTCTGCCAACCCTCCCACAGAGGGGGCAGAGCGTGTGGCACAGGGAGGAGGGCAGGAAGGAGCAGCTGGGCAGGTTCAGCGCTGAAGCCCTGGATATCAGGGATCTTCCCGGGCTTCCAGCCCTGCAAGGAACCTCCAGGCACAGCTTTTCTCACTCAGCCAACGCGTGGGAGCTGCAGAAGGCTGATGCCTCACGCTGAGGGGCTGACGGATTGATTCTGATGGGCGCAGGGGCTGCTCTGGCAGCCGGTCCCCCACAAGCACCCCCACAAGTAAAGGGGTTTGCCACAATTTAAACCAGACCTGGCTTCTGTCTCACCACAGGGTGACGTGGAAAGAGGGTAATAACAGGGAAGTGGGCACAAAAAATTATTTTAAACCTGTCCTACATTTATAGTAACGATATTGGCACTTTTACAGCATCAGCCTTCCAGGGAGACGTCAGACCATTTTTTTTAAAGGTAGGTTGCTAATATTCCTTTTTACAATGACAAAAAGAAAGGTCAGAAACTTAATCAATTTCTCAGGAGTGTTTAGCATATTATGACTGCACTGTATAAACACGGTACAAGGTGCCTAAACTTCAGTTTTATTTACAAAACTGCAATTCCTGATCCTTTTATCACCCCTGTATTAACACTTTCATCATGCTCCACTCCAGCATCTCAAAAGGCTCCGAGCATAGCTTCATAAAAAGGTATTTATTTTCGTCTTACATGTAAAATTCAAGTTTAAAGCTTATGTGACGCTTAGATTTTTGCATGAGTAATCTTAAATAATGTAAAATTCAGGAAGACGGTAGAGATCTTCACTCACACAGACAAACAGACACACGCACGTGCACCAGTAAAAGAGCTTTCATAATGGTGATTAAAATTAGCATCTTTGCCACTCAGCTTCCACCGGCAGAAGAACCAGAAAACACAGTCAGCTACTGGCCCTTTTCTCGAGTGCAGAACTATTTATTTTGGGACAGTTGTAAGGGTTCTCACCCCCAGCTGTCCTCCCTGTACTCTGCTGGAATCCCCACCAGGCCACTGCAGGGAGAGCTCAGCTGCTCCGGGGCAGCTGCTGAAAGGCTGCTGCTCTTGGCTGAAGGAAAACAGGTTTGTTTTCCCTCACACACACCGGGCTCTGAGCTGCTGCATCTCAGCAGCACCCACCTCAGGGAGGGACCAACTGTAAAAAGTCTTATTAAAGGCCAGAGCAACGATTTCCACGAAAACCTCTGTCACATCACTATCAGCTGAAACAGCCTGCCCAGTCACACTAAACACAGCTGACCAGTTTAAGACTGAATCTCTGTATTCTCTCAACCAATAATATTACATGTGCGAACTCCACCATTCTCTAAATGTCAAAGGAGTTCATATTTTATTAATGCCAGCTCTTTCCCCTCCCCCTAAATATCACACACCTTCTGTGAAACAAAAGTTTGAGACTATTACAAATCAAATGCATGATTTCCCAGTAATCTCAGTGGGAGTTTATAAAGCACATTAAAAGCAGGACCGTTTCCTAAAGAAAAAGAAAAAAAAGGCAAGATCCAATTTCTCCAGGTTAGTAGTCTAATAAGATCTCTGGGTTTTAACAATGGGTTTTAACTTTCATCACAGTTGAAAGCTTTTTCTCATATGATCATACAGCTCTGTTTTTATTTTACTATTATTACTATATATACACATTTACACACATTCATACCTTTAAATATTTTATTCAACCATATATATATATCTACACACCTTTAAATACTTTATTCAACCATATATATATATATACATTTCTGCTAATATAAAACTCTGCTTATGCTCTTTGCTTTAAAATGAGAAATATTCACATGGGGGTTTACTCCAGCACAGAAAAGGCAATAAAATTATATAGTTACAGATTGTTCAAGGTATCTCCAGGTATGAATAAACTTATTTAGAAGACTTTTGCTCTGGCACAGAAACCTCTATCTTTCTTACTCCCCTACTGCTGAATTTAAACCAGAGGAGTTTTAACACGTACATAAAGTATCCTAAAAACAAGCCACCAAGCCATGCTGGTGACACCAAAGGAAAGATAATGAACTGCTCTAAAAGGCTCAGCTTGTAGAAGTTGGTGCTAAACCTATTTTATTTTCACAAAACTCCTCCATCCTCCCCAGATGGGCCTATCCCAACAGATACACAAAGTTTATTTCACTCTTCCTTTTTTTTTTTTAACCCTGCAAGTAAATAGGTTGTTGTACCTAAATCAGGAGGGTTTTCTCTCTGGTTAAAGCCTAAGTAAGTAGTTTTACATTTGGATTTGTCCCCAGGCTGCATCCTACTGCTGCTCACTGGTACCACTCATCCCAGCCTCATACAGAACACCCCAAAAGTCTAAACAGCTTAAAACTCTTTAAAAGAAAAACCCAAAACACCTCCCCAAAAAACCCCCATATGTAAAAATAAACAAACAAACCCCAAAACAAACAAAAACTTCTCATACTTGGCAGTGCCACACCAAAGGAGCAAGAAGCACTTGCCTCTAAGACATACCTCTTGGCAAAAAAATATAAAGTGTGGAAACTTTCAGAAGGATAATAATCAATATGAAGCAAAGGGAAGCATATTGTAATTGTTATTTATTATTTTGCAGCTGCCCTTGAAAGCAAGGAACTAAGGTGATGCATTCAATTAAAACTAACAGAAAGTAAACGTGACTTGTAAAAAACATTCAAACACAAACACTTTATACCATCTTCAGAAAGTAAGTGAAACCTGTAGGTGGGAGCATGGCTTTAGACGACAAAATAATATTCCAAATTATATTCCTTTATGCAAAGTGATTGTAATATGTGCCATGAACCCAGCTCTCACCTTTGCACATGGAGATGCATACCCATAAAGAAATCACTTCTAAAAAAGATTCCCTTTGCAAACAACACTGTCCTTAAGCTGCACCCAGCTACTGATTTATGGTATGCAGCAGGGCCCTGCAGCAATATATTGCCCTGCTATTCACATACCTGTCACAACACTCAGTTCCCATGTTGCTTTACTCATTTCTCATCATCCCGTGATTTTTAAAATAAATTTTTCACTAGAGAATAAAGCTTCCTCAAACTCCCTCTCAGAAAAAAAAAAAAAACCATCCAAACACATGCATTACTTTAAAAGACAGCAACAACAACAACAAAAAAAGCAGACTGTAAACCCAAATCAAATCAATCCTAGTGGCTGCAGCATTGTGGCACTAACAGAGATACAACAGGGTAAACAGATCACGGTTTCTTTGTTAATACTGCTTTTACCAATTTTCTTTTCAAGTTTCTCACTTGATGACATCCTCCTTCAAAAATACACACAATGCTTCCACTGCAAAACACCGAGAAGACAAATAAAGACCCTGTCTGAAGCTGCCACAGAATCCAGGCTCTCCTCCCCAGAAATAATTCAGCTGTTCTTACCATCACACAAACCCTCAACCATAGTCCTCTTCACTTCCATACTTTCCTCCACCCTTCTGGCAGGATCCTGTCTTTTCTTTGTTTTTCCTCAATAGGTTTTCTAAAATCCATCATTTGTTATCCAGACCTACACCTGAATGCAGGCTCACCTCCTGCACTACAACATTGCTCTCTCTGCTTCCACCGTGAAACTAATTAATTTCCAAATTTTCTAAATTTTGATCTCCACACTTTCCCCCAAAACCAAATTACTGATTTTCAGAGAGTTGCAGTTTTTAAGTTAAGAATAATTTAAAATACTGTCGCTGTACTGCACGTGTATTTATTTCAACTACAGTTTTTCCAAACGAGAAAAGTACCTTTTAAGACATCCATCGAATGAATATCATTTAAGAGAGACACTATCTATTAGAGGAGTGGCTGTATAAACGTTTCAATTGTAATTAGTGAAAACTTTTTCACCTTGAAAAGTCAGCCACATGCACGACGGACACTCTTCAGCATCCCTCCCAAAGTTGCCTTTAGGAACATTGTAACCACACGAAATCCTATTAGTAGGTGCTGAACTCCTACATTGTGACTCTTCCGGCAGCCCTCTACATAACAAAAATGCAATGAAGCACCATACAACTTTCCCCCCCTTATTATGCAAAATCCTTATCAAATTCAATAGTGTGACGTCGCCCGTTCAAAATCCCGCCTAACAATGGCTCGCAGGAGGTTAAGAGATGTGGGCTTTGTTTTAGCTTCACGTTTGGGTTTTTTTTTTTTTTCAGCCTATTAACGCTAAAGGAAAAAGAACCTTCACAGAAATAACCGATAAAGATCAAACCCAACCAAACAATGGGAAGGAAATTCAGACTTAAAACTGGTACTCAAGCCCTTCGATGAGCGAGCAGCCCACCTTGCCAGGGTGCTGGGTCGAACAACACCCAGGAACAACAAGGTGAGGGAAGGAGCCTTCTCTCCTCCTCACTTCCAATGCTCTTGCCGGTTGCTGTTGTTTCTTAAGAGAGTATTTATATTTCCTGGATGGAACTACGGGGCACCCCCGACTCCTTTGTGCGGCAGGTTGCGAGTGGAGTGTGTCATGCGGCACGCGTTCCCACTCGCAACCAGGAGGACAAAGGATTCACTGATGGGGGGACAATTAGTCCCAATTAGGCCTATTTCGCAGCTGAGTGTAAGAGGCTGGGGGAAGGGAGCTAAATTTTTTTAAAGCAATGGGTCCCTCAGGCGAGGTAAAAGAAAGATCAGCGAAGTGACAAGCTTGAGAACGTTCACCCTACCAGTCAGCATGGGGACGCTCCACAGAGGCGGTGGCACCGAGCCTCGGGCAAGCCACCTCCAGGAGAGGATAGAGCAGGGCTTCTCAAACCTCAGGCACACCAGGTAAGAAATCTGATGACCGTTCTGCCTGTTGGCTCAGGTGACTAACCAAAATTTCCCAGTTTTCAACCCGCTCCTCCAGCAGCAGATCTCCCGTGTCGGACACAGGCAAGACACGCACACAGACACACGGCAGGAAGGTCAGGAATACTCACATATGCACATGTGGAGGCTGGAACCTGCTCTGGTTGATGTTGTAGTGCGTAAATGCCTGCGTTGGGTTGGAGCTGTATTCATCCACCGTTATGGTAACTTTGCCTTGTGAGGGAATTCCATGAGCCATCCTTCCTCCTTATGGACATGAGCAGCTCACAACTTCCCAAGGCCCGGAGCAGGGTAGGGCATTGTGGTCCAGGCAGCTCCCGAATCCCAGCAGCTCCTCATCAACTCCTCTGACCTCTGCCAGGAAAGAAAGACAGCACACACCGCTATAAGCTAGGAGGAGATGTAAACAATACACAGACAGATTACTCTGTCCTCTCCTGATTTCTATTCAGACACCTCTCTCTATATTTTTATGTACCCATCACCCCATTCTCTAAGCATTACTATTCACTTTTTTTGTTTGTTTGTTTATCTTGGGGTGGGGGGGAATATAACATTTGCGTTTTAAGCTTCTGTTAAATACTCCACGTTTCATAGTCTTTATTTGAAATAAGGTCTCGTGCTAATTGCAACCACGAAAATTAACAACTGGACAAGACAAATGACCTTCCACAAACATACCCACTTGTTTTCAAGGCCCTATTGCAGCCTCGCAGCGTGATTGACAATCAAGAGACTTACGAGAAACTGATGTAAAGAACACTTTAAAATTGCATAGCTAAAGTTACACCCAAATACCTCTAAATCAAAGCATTTATTTGTTCTAGAGAAAGGAGATTATCCAGACAACGTTAGCAAAATATCCACGTTATTTTGCACTAGCAATAAAACTGGTTTGGATTCACCACCAGACAGTAACGATTTATCTGACAGATTTAAGTGCGATTTTATGCGTAAATATTTCTGAATGAGATGAAAGAAATAGGCTCTTCCCTCTATGTGCATCCCTATCTTTCACTTCTTCAAAGTGCTCTTAAACACATTTTTTCGTTAAGACTGGATGTACACTGTAAAATAAGCAGAACCCAAACAGCCAGAAACCTCCCAAACCTGCTCTGCTGAGTTTCCTGCACAAAATCTGAGCTTCGATTTCTTCAGTCAATGAACTGAGGATACCTCAGCTGCCTCCCTTTCAGAGGGACTCTGTGAAAATTGATCAGCTGGTGTTCGAGGAACACTTTCAAGATGAGCAATTCTTCTAAGAGCCCCGCTCAGGAGGCAGATGCTCAGCTGGGACACACTATCCTAGCAAGGACTTCCTTGAATTCATGACACCTGGCATCAGTTGATAGCCCTCCCTTTAGTTGCCACATGCAATAGTGGGGTTTTTTTCCATATCTGGTGTGCAATTTACAAAAGTAAATCAGTGCTTACCGGGAAGAACAAAGAGCTGGGAAAGAGAAGAGAATGGCTTGAGACCCGAGCATCAAACCAAGCACTGTTTTTCCACTGCTATTTCCCTGGACTTCTCTAGCTCCCAGATAGAAATGTGTTTGCCATGTGTAACGTGAAATATTTGAAATCTCTGATTTGTATTCAAAATATATTTTTAATACAAAGACTAATTTCCAGTTTGGCATGAAACATGATGAAAATGCCCTGCAAATGGCAGATGGCCTGCTATAGGCCATTTATTTTACTATTTTACCACCTCAGGCCTATGTAGGCTTCCATATGTTGGCTGGGTTAAGACATTCTGCAACCTTCATTCCAGTAACTGGGTTCTGTCCTACGTCTTTTTCAGATGGAGGGAAAAAAATATAAAAGAAGATGAAACTAAAGCATGAAGTCCCAGCTTACAAACCATCTCTAATAAGACGGTACATCTTTGTAACTCAGGTTATGGTCTGATCTCCACATGAATCCCCTTTGTAAGAACAAGTTTCAGCAGCAAGGTGAGCTTTACCAGAACAAATCTTTGCTGCCTTGTGATGTGATGTAAGATGCTGCAACAACTGCTCACGAATCTTAATGGAGTGGTGCTTACCGCACCAAGTTTGCAGCTGTTTCCTTAATTTCCTTTACAATTCTATTTTAGTGTTATTTTGCATAACAGTAAAACACAACACCTGCTTCAAACCGCAGTCCTGTTCCAAGTACTGTAATTCTTTTGAGATAGAAACTGCGAAAGAGTGCACAACACAGAGCAGCATAATTGCCCTGTACTGAAAAGTAAATACAAATGAAAACATCTTCCTGCCAGAGAAATGGCTGTCATTAACAAGAATGCCGCCCATCAGAGCTCCCAGGAAAAAAAACAAACAACAAGAGTTTTTCTTTTACGCAGCAAGAACTTTAGCGTCTGCGTATATTAAAGAAGCGGTGTGGAAATTACATGTGTAATGTTACTTTTTTCCACAATTAAAAAAAAAAACAATATAAGCAACGCATTAAGCCAACAATAAAAATATGCTTGGGCTTTCAGAAAAGCTAAATGACACTGTTTTCAGTAATCCAGCCTAAGAAAGGTCAGAACATTAAATTTCATATTATAGTTCACTCATGGAAGAAAAATCTAATTTGTTCATGGGAGTGAATTATACATAAAGATAATAAGCATTTTCTCAAGGTTTATAACAATCCGTGTTACAGAAAGAAAATACAACTAACTGGCATAAAACAAATGATAAGAGGATACTTGAATAGCTGTATTAAATACTTTTAAGTTGACTCTCAGTAAGATTATAAGTATATAAGCTGCAATTCCTTCCCATTGTTCTAGCCTTCCATCTTAAAAATAAATCTCTGTACTTAAATTAAGACAAAGCTGAACAAACTATCCTTTTAAACTGAAATTCACAACAAACGCCAGACTGGGGGTTAAAGAGGAATGTAAAATTTGAAGCTGGCTTCTGTGTCAATTCTCTTAATTTCCATTTAGTACTCTACAGAGTACTACAGCTCACCTATCAGAAGTATCTAATTATTACCTTCCTTACTGTGAATGTCTCTGAAGAAAATAGGAAAAAGAAGCTGAACACTTCAAAACTTTTTTTAAAAAAAGGCCCAAGATTAAAAAAAAAAAAATTAAAAGGACTACTTTGAATGGCTCCTGTTCTTCTTTCTCCAACTGCGAGCACTCTTTGAAGGTTACATGCAGGAGATGAGTACAAAAGAATAAAAGTTGCATTATTTTCCCATCTATCAAGTATAACAACGTGTAATACCTTCCACGCCTTACGAGGCAGTTTTAAGTAAGAACGACCATATTAAAAAGCTAAGTAATGATTTTTTTGGCATGTTGCGTTTTCCCAAAGACAGGCAGTTATCCTTTTCCAGCCTGTAGTTGTACCGGCAGCGAGACAGGGGATGTGCCATTTGTACGTATCTGCTCAGTGTTACAGGTAAAAACCGGCACTTTCACAGAACAGGGCTGGCCCAAACTTAGGCGCAGCTAATTGTAAATCTGTGCACTGCTGCCCTGCCATAAAAACTACCACGAAATGAGCACAGGTGAGTCATTTGAGATGTAACATGACATTTCACGGAGAGCTAACACACGCGAGCCCTGCGTACGCACACGCACACACAGAGGCACGCGAAAAACCCATTTCCCCAAATAAAATATTTACGCCTCCCTCATCTGCATTTCAAAAATCTGCCTCCGGCTCCAAGGGAAAACGCTGAAAGGCAGGAGACGGGAAGGGTTAATCCCGTGTCAACACCTTCTGTTGATACATCCATCCCCACCGACACCACGCGTTCCGCCCGCCCGGGGCGCGGGCACCGGCCCCGCATCCCCCCGCACTCACGGTGCGCTGCCCCTCCACCCGCGGGGGGCTGGCAGCGGCCTCGCAGCCCCCGAGATGCTGCGCTGCAGTTTGCGGACAACTCCTGGCTCCAGACACCCCATCGAGTCCGGCGGAGGCGCTGGAGGAGGGGGCCGGACCCCGACACTCTCCCGCCCCGCTACCCCCCAGCCCACCCCGCCCCGCCGAGCCCCGGTACCTGCGCTCCCGGCCGCTCCCGGGCCGCCCCGGCCGCGGCCCCGCAGGGCGCCGGGCTCGCCCCCCGGTGATTGATGGCTCCGGGTGGCCAATGGCTCCGGCGCGGCCCCGTCCCGGCGTGTGCCGCAGCCCCCGCCCCGCGCCCCTGCCCTGCCCTGCCCCCGCCCCGCGGCTCCGGGGGCATCGCTGCCCTGTCTGCGCCCTACGTGCTGCGCCGCACAAAGTTCGCGTCGCCCCGTGTTCCCCGGCTGCCGCGGACCGGGGTGATCCGCGGGGGGAGGATGCTCGGGGGAGGGATGCGATAAACTCCGCGGCAGCCGCGGGCGAGGGGGGTGTGGGGAGGGGGGGGGGCGGGATGCCCGCTGCTTTTCATCCCGGCGGTGCCAAGCGCGCCGTCCCTCGCACCTCGCCCCCAACCCCTTGGAAGCTTCCAAGTGTCTGAGGCCTCCGGGATCAGCGTTTCAGAGCGGCTTCTCCGCCGGCGAAAGGGCGAGGGGCAACTCCGCCGGGGAACGGCGAACCAACCCGCCTTTCCCTCCTTTACTTTCGCGGCGTGTTCCCTCCGTACGCACACAACACACACAACCCCATCCATCCCCGCGTCCCTCCGCAGCCCTGTCCCCGCCGGCCGCTCGGCGCTGCCGCCCGCCCGCCCGCTGGCCCCAGCCAGCACAATGCTCCCCGGCCTACCCTCCCGGCCCCGCCGCGCCGCCCCCGCCCCGACCCCGCGCCGGCAGCCCCGCACACCCCCTGCCGTCCCCGGGCCGCTTCCAGCGCCGCCGACCTCTCGCCGCCCCCTGGCCCGAGCGGGGGGCGCGGCGGCGGCCGAGGGCAGCGGGGGCACGGCCTGGGCAGCGGGGCAGGGCGCTCCGCGCCGCCGGGAACGCGCCGCGGCTGCGGGGAAGCTCCGCCGACACCGCCGCTGCTGCTGCTGCTGCCGCCGCACCGACCCGACCGACCCGACCCGACCCGGCGGGCTCGGGCGGTCACGCCGGGGGGCGGCAGGAGAGCAGGCGGCCGGGTTCATCCTCATTATTGTTCGCGGGAGGCTGGACCCGGCGCCGCCGCCGCCGCCGGAGCTCCTGCCCGCCCCCGCCTCCCGCGCTCTCGCCCATGACACGGCACCTCTAACCCGCCGCTTTGTGCCGCGCTGCCCCCGCCGTGCCCGCCCTGCGCCGACACCAGCCCGGGGCCGCTCACCTTCCTTCCCTCCGCCGGCTGCCGCTGCGGGCGGGTCGGGATGCCTTCAGCGGGGCCGCTCCATGGGGCTGCGGGGGCGCGGCCGGGGCAGAGCCTGCGCCCGACCCCGCGGCGGTGCCCGGCGGGGCCCTGGCTCCGCGTCCGCGTCCGGGTCCGGCTGCGGGAGCGGGGCGGCGGCGGGGGCGGGCGCGGTGCAGTGATCGGGACTGCCACTGGGGTCAGGGAGCAGGCACCAGGAAACACGGCGGCCACGGCGCGCTGCTCGCACACACACACACACACAGACACACACAGAGACACACACACACACGCACGGCTCCTCCCGCTGCCTCGCACTTCACCCCCCCGGGCAGGGAGGGAGGGAGGGAGCAGTCGCTGCTGCATTTCCCAAGTGCGGCACGGCTTTCCCCCCGCCGGGCCGGCTGGAGCGGGGGCTGTGCCGCCCATTGGGGTCACGCCGGGGTGCCCCGGGGGAGCGGGGAGGGCAGCGCCGGAGCCCACCGGGACCCCCTTCCCCGCCGCCGAGGGGCAGCGCCCGCCTCGCACCCCAAAACGCGGCCGGCCCCGCACCGCGCACCGCCGATCGGCTCTGCCCCTGCCCACACGAATAGCAGAACAAATAAGTAACAACAGCAACAATTAAAAAATAAAATAAAATAAAATAAAAAATCCTCGGAACGGGTTTTCGCATCTTCCGCCGCACCTTTCGTCACTGGGTGTTAATGCGGTGCTCTGCTCCTTTGTAGGTAAGCTCACCTCAGCGGCCAGAAAAACACACAGAAACACCACTGCAGGGTTCGCCTTTGAGGCCGAACATTGTCTTAGGGTGACTGGGGCTTTTCTATGGAAAGATAGAATCAGGGAATCACAGAGGTTGCTGTTGTATCTTTTTTTTTTTTTTTTTTTGTCTTCCCCCCCCCCAATCCATAGGAATTGTGTCAACAGCCACAACAGTAACAAAGTAAAGATTATAGGTGTGTGTTCTGTTACTTTCTGACAGCAAATGGAAGGGAAGACTTCCACAAAGGTACACTTAACAATGGGGAAGGGAAAAAAAGAAATAAGGAAGAAAAGGAAAAAATCCAAACAATTTTGAATAGTCAAGCAGATAGAAAATAGATAAAAGGTCTCTAAGAGTAAATAGTGTCCTATATATTTTAAATAAGTAATTTTGACTCTGGCCAACCTTCAGATATGCATGGCAAGCGTGCAGGTTTTCCTTTGTTACTGAAAAACGTGAGAAGGGTCCCTTGTACTGCCAAGCAGAAATCCACTGGGATGAACTGTCCTTTTCAGAAGCATGGCAAACTAAGAAAAAATCAACCTAAAACCAAGACTAAATGGTAAAAGGTTTTTTCCAAATTTGCTCTTTCAGTCTTTTTTTTGGTTTTTTTTTTGTTTTTTTTTTACTATTGTCTTTATCCCTTTTAATAGCAGCAAGCACTGTGAGCCACCAAAGGAAAATTCCTGTTTCAGACAAAATGTCCCACAGATGAGTCGTCCTCCTAATCAAATCAAAGTAACATTTCCAGGGAAACTTTGCCTGGAATGAAGTGTGAGGCCGTAGTTCCACAAGTATTTTTAACTGACTTACTCTGGCACAGCTATAAAATAACCAGTCCAGCATTCAACCCACTCTCCCCACTTCTGTCCCTGCACTCACCCTCCTGTGAGAGCTGGGAACCTCACCTGCCAAACTGATCCATTTAGCACCAGGGAAAAACATTCAGGTGTGGTGTGAGTTCGGTCTCCTCATCCAATCCACTTCACAACTGCGCAAATAATTCTTCTGGAACGAGACAGAGAGTGAGATGAGCAGCTGAGGACAGAAAGAGAGCAGGGCAGCTTCACTGGTGCCACTGCCAGCTTTGGTATAGGAACATGGAGGGGCAGGTGAGGTGAGGAGGATCAGCAGGTTTGACCCTGAACCTGCTGCATCCCTCCCTTCTCCACCAGCTGCAGCAGGACTTGCCTGTAGTTTTGTCCTTGTACAAAGGACCTGACTCCAGGTTCCCACTTCCATCCCAACACTGAGCGTTCCTCAGCACCACCAAGCTGTAATACAGTCACCAGGAGCACTGTTTTTAATACAGGACATGACAAACTCTGAAACATTTTCTGTTAAGAGCACGCAATGAAACTTTCCCCTTTTTCAAACTACTTGTTTTCTGTTTCCCCAAGAACAGTATGCTTTCCAAAGAGGCACTCACTTTAGAAATGTGCTGGCCCTGGAGTTGCTCAAAGAAGGAAAAAATATGTTATTTAAATTGATTGAAGGATTTTCTGAGGAAAAGAGCTGCCTTCTCTAAATCACAGGAGAGCGTTAAAATGCAAATACAGAAAAATAAAACATCTATATTTTGGCTGGAATATGTATTTATTAATACACACTTGACAAGAGGATCTCAGAGATAAATTCAAAAAGCGAATAAGTAAATGAGCTGTTTATTGTGAGTGTCACAGGACTGATTTTTCTAGCTGGGTGAAATTCAAAACAGTGAACAAACAGCTTATGTTTACTTTAATACTGCCTATTTGTAATATTAAATGTGTATGTTATACATGAAACCTTAGTCGTGTTCAGGGTTTGCACTGGATTTTATTTTTTCACTTTTACAAATCCAAAGTGAGTGTCACCAAGTGTACAGATGCAGGAGATGCATGCTAAATTTTATAAAGCACTATAGAGGCCAAAAAGCATGCACATTCTTCAAAATCTGTTATGTCATCTCTAATACAGTTCACAGGAACCATTGCCTGCAGTTTCTGCCAAGCACAAGACAGAGCTTTTGAGACACACACAGGGTAATCTGGGGTGAACCACAGACACCCACCTCATTTTGCTGCTCAGGAAAAATCTTCCCTAAAGTATGTGTAAAGCAATACAAGAAAGAGTCATTTAAAGTCCACCCCTGAGAACTCATTCCTTAAATAACAGGATTTTTTGAGTGATGTTTTTTACACAGAAAGGAATTAAAAACAAAAACAAGCAAACAAACGGAAGTGTACAAAAGCAAACCAACCAACCAACCAACCAAACAAACACTGTCTTTTTGTTTGGACCCAGTGTCAGAGGGGTTTGGTTGGTTTGTTTCGGGACATGGATTTTTTAGCCATTTCAAGAGCAGAGCATCAAGGGTTCTCATTTCCATTGCAGTCAGAGTTCAGTTTCGGCCTGAAGAGACTGGGGCATGCAGGTAGAGTGCTAAACAACGTGTATTTTGATTTGCTAACATTTTAAGGAAGCAGGTCCAGCGGACAGGCGCTGGTAACAATCTGCACCAAAAGCCACTGGACTCACCAGGTGTCAATACAGATCATTGCAGTTCTGCCAAAACCTGTAACTCAGCAGGCTCATTCCCCTCATGACAGCAGAAATTCTTCACTAACTTTGGAACAGAAGACATAGGAGAAAACTACAGTAGTTTAGGCTTAATTCCCCACCGAGTCCCACAACATTCCAAATTTGCTGAATATAATAGTTGGATGGATTTAAAGTTCTCCACTGCTCGCTCTCTTCACCTGCATTTGGTGTGCATGCTGGCCAACAACAGGAGAACAACAGAAAATCAGAGTATCATCTATGAAGAACAAACAAACAGAAAAAAAAAATCATCCGGTATTCCAATTCTGAAGATACAAATTGGGGTGTTTTTTCAGCTCTTACTGCTCCTGAACAAAATCACAGACTGGAACTGGGAGCTAATTGAATCCTAGAAGCTGAATTAAAAAAACCCAAAACCAAACTAACAACAACAACAACAAAACACCTCTTGGCTTTTGGGTTTTGTATTCTGTTCCATTATGAGTTTTTACCCCACTTTTTCTCTCACAGACAAGGGCCCATACACTAACCTGTTCACACTCAAGTAAACACTACATCTTCAGGAAGACTCCATGACTCCCCCCATGGAAATCCACCAGCTTTTGGAGGAAATGACAATTCTCAAAAGGAAGTGAAATTTGTGCCTTCTGTCAGAATCTGCAGCCACAGAGGAGCACGGCATTGTAATGCTGATAGAGCATCAGGTAAGACTGCTGAAGGAAGTATCACCAGTTGCCCTCTGGGCAGACTTTTTATATTTGATGGACCAGAACTTTGCCTGCTGCCTCGCCCCTTTAAAATAAATTAAATATTTGATTGGAACTTTCCTACTCACCCCCTCTAGAAATAAAAAATTATGAAAACAAGGTTGTAGGTGAGTCGTTTACCCTTCTAAAAAAATCCCAATGTAACTGATAGTCAAGCACCTAGAGAAGAAACCATTCCTTTTTTTTTTTTTCCCAGAACATTCCACTGAACATTCTTTTTTCAAAACTGAGAAGGATACATGGGTGATTTATTCCTTCATAATAGAGCAGGCAGTGACTTCAGTTTTGTATGTACAATAAAGATCCAAGTGTTGTTTGATGGAGAGCAGTTACTGCAAAGACATTACTACAGGAACTCCCAGATACTGAAGGCTCAGGGCACACTATAAGGAAAGGTTTCTGGGGGTCACCTTCTGGTCAGTGAGCTGTGACAGGGAGTACACAACTGTGGGAGTAATGTGAGGTGTTTAAACATTCTATTTATTGAATAACAATTTACCTGTTTAGAAGAAGGTGGATGCCTTTTTCCACAAATGATCATTTTATGATTTAGTTGGTCTATAATGCATTGGGTTAAAGCCAGTACATGAGAAAACCCTCAGTTTAATTTGTCTGCAGTTCAGGCACTCAAAGCCCACTGCACCAAATAATTCCAAAACTTGGTGGTCTGTCAGGAAACAGGCATTAGTTTTACAGTAGAGTGTATTACAAACTTCTCCTCTCCTTGACCTTTAACTTGTTCAACAACTCCCTTCCCTCTCCATCACATAGATTATCCCACCCTGTGGCAGATCCTGGCCGCACTCTGCTTCTGCTCCTGGATGTAAATATGAACCGTGTCCTCCTGAGTTTTGAGAAGTCACAGTGATACCAGACAGTCTACACTCTCACTCTACCTCCTGACTTCAGAGAGGAGATTCAGTGAAGTGGTTTTCTGTCACACTGAGTGCATCCTACAAATGGCAGACTCCACAGACTGAAATTCCTGCAGACAGAGAAAAATTCTTCTCTCCATTCCTGAGAGAAGGTCCCTATCGCACTGGAAATTCTCAATGTTAGTCAAAACTCCACGTGGAAAGCAAACTGCAAAACTGAGGTAGATCTTAGCTCTCAGTGTAAGTAAAGCAATTTACATGGTAGTGCAGAAGTGAGAACATTACTCCTGTGCTATCTTGAAG